CCCCAAAAACCCAAAACCCCGAGAATATCGTTTGGGAAAATAGATTAAAATTGATCAAAAATGTTCATCTGTTTAATTTTGAATAATTAATATACTTGCTAATACAATGGATGATGAAATCGATCAAATATATGAATATTTGAAAGGCAAAAACAATTTAGGATTGGAATCAAGTTTCTTTATCAGGGTCTTGCTTAAAAATAGAATAATTTAAAGGGGTCAAATTCAGGATATCAATGAGAAAATAAGAAATATTTAGATGTTTGAACAATCTAAGTTGATAAGTAAATCAAGGAGTATGCTTCCACTTTATAACTACTGAGAGTCTCTTTATCAAGTCAAGGCATAAGCTTTGAAACAAAAAGACAAAAAACTGTAACAAAAGATTACTCAGCTAGAAAAATCTTATAAACCTAAGTAGCCTAGACAATCATTAAGTGGATCTGGCTCTAGAACATCTTCTAGATAGAATTCATCAAATGCCTCTAGAGAAGCAATATCAGTTGCGAATGTATAGATAGATAAAAATGAATTTAGATAATTAGTTAAGGAACTTGATTAGGATATAAGATCAAGACTTCTTCAAGATTATTAAAATTTGAGTACTTAGGAAATGTTTAACCAAGTTGACTAGGATGATTTGGTCCTAAGCAGAAGTTCCAACTGGATTAATCGTGGTAATGTTGGTGATTCACTGGTCATTATAAATGAGGACTCAGGAGATGACGAGTCAGAGCCAAAGTAAGGTTTCGATTTCTATGATAGAGTTCAAAATAACTCTTAAATTTTTGACAAAGCATAAGAATTAAAAGATAATGAAGGCCATTTATTTAGTGGAGATGAATAGGTCATAACTAGAATGAATGATAATAATAATAATAATGGACCAGCAATAAATCACTTGCAGATAGATTTAAATTTAGTAGAAAACCTAAATGTACTAAAATAAGACGAGGAGACCTTTGTAATGAAACAATCTAATAGATATAAGATTAATTCTCTTACTAGCAATGAGGCAGTAGTGAAATAAGGTACTGGAGGATCCTTGGCATATTAAGAATATCTATTTTCTTCAAGAGGTCCCTCAGTCCAATTTCCGTCACCAAATCCTAAAAAGAATTCCCTGCATATTCCAGATGACCATAAAAGATTTGAGAGCAATTATAAAAGTTCGGAGCAGAAAAAAATTTTGGAGTCTTAGGAATTCGATGATATCTTGCTTAAAATGAATAAATAAGAGTCGATCTAGGTGATTCAGAAGTAAATAGCTGATGACCACGACCACATAAATGACGATGTGCGTGTTGATGAGATTGATTTTGATATAAATTCATCTAAATAGTAAACACCTGATCTTAACATTAAGAAGGAAGAATTAGTGAAGCATATTTCATAAATAGAAGTACCTGGAAACATATAATACGGATAGGAATAAATCCTTACTCCAAAGGAGCATTAGAATAAAGAATAAAATAAAAGCTAAAAATGTTGTAAATGCATAATTTTCTGATTAATTTTATTTGCATTCTTACTTGCCTATATAATTATAAATAAAAATTATTACGGGGTTTTGGGGTTTTGGGGTTTTGGGG